GTTTAATTACCAATGGTATGCCTGCATGAAGTCCTTGATTGCCACTTGTTTGCTGGCTTGAAACTTAAGCAGTTTAAGCAGGTCTTGGGTGAAGCGTTTAACTTGAGCTCGGTGAGTTAGAGTCAGTAAACGCTTTGTACCCATACCCAAGATCTGTTGGTTAGAAAAAATAAAAACGTATAAAATAAACAAAGACAACATGAACAAATACATTTGTTCAATCAGAAGATCATCACTGGGTGGTCCTCATTAAAAGTACCTGCAGAACATGTGGCACAGCCTCGAGAAGCTCCAGCAGCTTAGAGAAGCCATAGTCGGAGACGCGGCACTGCTTGGCAAAGTGATGATGATATGAGGGAATGAATTTGCTGATTGGCATTATGCATGACGGCTGACTTTTTAAGAGGTCAATAATCTCCCGGCTAAACTGGATGAGCTGTGGATTGCCGACTGGACTCTTGCAGCGTTGAATCCATGGCTCTGTGTGACAATTAAAAAAATAATAAAGTGTTAAGGTGAAATGGGCTGCCTGAGCTAAACGCAAACTGTCTGATAACTTTACAAGAACTCATATCAGATGGTTAAAGAGTTTAAAACAAAACAAAAAACCAACAAAAAAAACAAAAACACACCCAAGATGAGAGGTCTGAACAGCACTATGGAAAATGAAAATGAAACTCCAATAAAAACCAGATTTGTAAATGTACCTACCAGAGTTTGGCGCCGGAGGTTTATTGTTGATCCACTTGATGACTTTGAAACCATTTTGAGCTGTGACTACTGTGATACTGGGAACACAGGTGACGAGGTGCTCCAGAGGAACACCACCTTCCAGTGACTCATTGCCAAGTTGAAGCGGTCTGAATTTTGCTGCATAACAGTCTGGAAAACTAAATGGAAATTAAACTTTTTAATAACTTTATAATGACGGAAAATATACTCTAACATTAAAAATGCGTACACGTAACAGGTAATAAACCAGTTCTTACCTGAGGAGTGGAAGTGTGCCCTGATGTGACTGCAGCAGACTGTGCACCTCTGAGGCCAGTGTGCTCAGAGACATCACAACAAATGGGATTTTATAGGAATCAGGGTCAAAGTCGGCCTCACTGCAAAAAAAGAGCAACAGTCAATGATGGAAAAAGGTCAGCTTACGCTACAATATAAAGGTTTCGAACTGTTGTATACCTGAAGTCCTGCAGTGAATAGTGCTGTCTGCAGACAGGCTC